AGCAAAAATAATTAGGTTGAGCTATAATGGCATGACTGGAATTGGTCTGCACAATGGGGGATGTTTAGTGTTACTACCGTATCTTTTGTGTTATATTGAGCTTACATTTCCGCAAAACATTGGAAGCCTCTTATGATTTGAATTGCACCATGAAATTGCATTTAACTTGTGCCTTATTGGTTTTTATACTGACTTTATTGCTTGAGGACAAGCAAAAGTTCAAGCTTATGGGAGTTTGATGACACGAAAAGATATAGAATTTTCCGCCTGATTTACATAGATTAAATTTCCAATTCCTCATTTATTAGGTCACATTTTATCTCTTTTTGTAGTATTTGCAACATATTTTAGGTACTTAGCTTTTGCAAGGCATAAATGAGAAAAGGAAGAAAAACAATGGAAAAATGAAGTTCAAATGGCCTTTTTGAAGCATTTCAGCACTTCCTGCACCAGAAGGCGTGCCACCGGCCACAAGGGTGTTACGACTGGGACAAGTTGAGTTTTGTGCCTCTCGGCACGTCTTATGTTACGACTGGGACAAATAAGAATTATGTGCCCCATGTCACACCACATATCACGCTCGCCACGATCCATATAACAATTATGATTTTCTCTCCATTTGATGGACTCGGCGCATGTTCATGGATTCTTCTATGTGTTGAATTCCTATTTTTCCTTAACTAATGGACCCTATACATATGGAAGAAGTTACCAAAAATGTCTCTCTCTCGCACCTTGAACAATTGTTACGCAGTCTTACTTTCAATCTCACTTTTTCTGCTCAACATTATTTTTTGTATTTTGTTTTGATATTTTCCAGTTTAGATTTCTTGCATTAATTTTCTAGATTTTGTAGAACTACTTAGGCAATAAAAAATCCCACTATCAAAGCAGTATTTTTCCACATCGGAGAAATACGACAACACTAGTTTGTTTCCAGACTTCCAGAATTTGCTTAGGATTACTTTACTTTAATTCGAGATATTTTTACTACAAGTCAATCCCGCCGGCATGTGAAGGATACACATTACTCAGAATTAATCGCTTTATTATTCACTTTCAGGTTCCTATTTTAATAAGCATAATTTATTTATTTCCTACCATGCATGTGTTGTTGAACTTACGTTTTAATTTTATGTTGTTCTGTGATAAAATTATGTCTGGATAGATTCCCTGATACCGGTATGTAAAACTTAACTGAAAAGATTCGGTAATTAATTGGCATTATTATTTTTACAAAACCACTTTTCTGGTTTTAATTTCCAATTGAATATTTAATTGTTTTTGTACGGAACTAAGAGACAGTCTAAGGTTACAATCAACAGAGCGGAAGTTTGTGGTTTTAACCAGATATTGGTTATTAAAACATTAATTTTAAAAACAGCGGAAGCGCTTTAAAGTTAATTGGACCTTATTTGTTTTAAAAAAATACTTTTGAGTTTTAAATGAAACAGCAGAAGCGCTCATTTCAAGCTTAACTGATATGATATGATTCAATAGAACGAAATTTTGAGACGAGGGTTTTTAAACGAATTGTTTTCACCGAAACTGTGTTTTAATACTAAAAAGAAATGCTAATGACTTACTGAATCCCTAAAGTTGACGAAATACATACCAGTGTCCCATTATAAATTAACAGACTTTAGTTAATTCCTGATTAAACCCAAACACATGAATTTATTATTTAGCCTTAGCTTTATACAATAAACCTAAGATAACAGTAGTTTGACCATCAGTCCTTGTGGGTTCGATATCTTTTAAAACTACATGATAGACTGTGCACTTGCAATCACTACACCCGACAAACTTATAAAGTCGCGATCATTTGTAGATGGACAGTCAGGCAAAGAGAACTATCCAATATTTGGAGGATTTGTTGAGGGCTTGTGTGTTAGAACAAGGAGGTGCTTTGGATAACCACTTGTCATTGATTTTGTTTACTCATGATAATAGTTTCCATGCTAGTATTGGAATGGCACCATATAAGGCATTGTATGATAGGAGGTGTAGAACTCCATTGTGTTAGTATGAGTCAGGCGAGAGTATTGTGCTTAGACCTGAGATTGTGCATGAGACAATTGAAAAGATTAAAATGATTCAAGAGAGGATGAAAACTTCCCAAAGTCGTCAAAAGAACTATCATGATAAGAGGAGTAAAGCACTTTAATTCCAAGTGGGAGATCATGTGTTTTTTAGAGTTACTCTGGTAACTTATGTTGGTAGAGCTCTGAAGTCGTGAAAGCTTACGCCATGTTTTGTTGGTCCATAACAAATTATGCAGAGGATAAGAGAAGTAGCCTATCAGATTGATTTATCGTTGCCGATTTCTAATCTTCACAATGTATTTCACGTGTCCCGGTTGAGGAGACACGTTTCAAATCTGTCTCATGTGATCCAAGTGGATGATGTACAAATGAGAGATAACCTGATTGTTGAGACATCACCCATGCAGATAAAGGGTCGGGAGGTGAAGTCGTTGTATGGTAAAGAGATTGCATTGGTGAAGTTAGTATGAGAAGTATCAACTGGTGAGAGCATGAGTTGGGAGTGTGAAAATCAAATGAGAGACTCGTGCCCGATTCTATTTTCCTCAAGTAATTTCTGGGGACAATAATTCTCTAAGTGGGGGAGAGTTGTAACACCCCAAATCTAGAATTTATGTTTTTAATAATTTATAATGAATATTATGTGATTTTATATTGATACGTTGTTGGGTTATTAGTGTGATGTAGATGCTAACTTAGAAATTATTTAGATTAATAATTTGTAGTGGATGATTTATAATTAAAATAATATCAATAAAAAAGAATATTAGAGATGAGTGTAGTAATGTAAAATTGTGAGAATTATTTAATAATTAGAATAATAGTTATTTTTGTGATATAGAAATTAGTAGAATTATTTAAAGCTATTTTAGTGATCATATAATAAGAATATTGATTTAATTAGGTAAATGTATTGGAATATTTAAATAATAATGAAAATAAGTTGTGTAAAGAAATAAGGGGTAAAGTTGACATTTGAGAGAATAATGAGGACATAATAGAGTTAGAGCATTAAGTAAGGGTAGAAGTGGAAAAGCATAATTAGAAGAATTAAAAGTAAAATAAAAAGGAGAATTGGGAGAAGTTGAGTTTTTGACAGTACGTGAAAATAAGTTTGAAGAGTTAGGGTATAAGAGGAACCCCATCAGAGGCTTGAAGAAGTTTTAGAAAAACGAAAGTTAAGGGTGAATTATTTCATTTTAATAATGATTGGTATGGGGTAGAGTAGAAGAATGAATTTGGATGTGTTAGGGTTTGTTCTTACCTTAATACTTTGATTGAAATGTCATAGTTGTTATTGAATGATGATTAAGTATGAGGATTTATGTTGTTGTTATTTCAATTGGATGATTTACATGATTAATTTGTATAATTATTGTTGTTTAATCTATATGAATGGATGATATCCATTGGAAATACATGGTGGGGGTTTGGTGATGTTGACATGAGGCTTTTGGGGGGTTTGGAGGGGATGAAATTCGTGAAAAAAGGTTTTAAAATTTAATTTTTGGAAAAAGTCTCAGGCGTCAATCAATTGGTCTTATTATGCAAATCAATCGATTCTTGTGCTTGTTTGGAAATTTTATGAAAAATGTTTTGATCATAACTTTTGACCCGTATGTCCAAATGACGCTTCGTTCGAAGCATTAGAAATCTAATAATCATTTATATAACATGGTAGTAGTTAGTGAGAGGTTTGAATATTATCCATGTGTTGTACAATATTTTTGCCCCTTGCTTTTTTTCATCTGATGCACATCTTTCATTTTTTTTGCAAAGTCGATCATCTTGTATACTTCTTTTATTCATCATTTCTTTTTATTAAGAATTCCAAAAATTAAGTGAGTTATTACACTAGGTCAATTTTGTCCATTCATCATTCTATTTCATTTCAATTTCATTTTTAATTCAAAAATCTCAAAATATAGTTCTCTTTTTCCATGTATTTTTATTCCTTTTAATTCAATATTAACCTTTGGCTTGGATTTTAATTTTAATTCAATTCGAAATATCATTCTTTAAGTTGGATTATTATTAAAGTTCAAATTATATTTTAAAGTTCTCTTTATTTGCATTATTCTCTAGTCTTACTAATCAATTTCCTTTTAGTATTATCATTATTATTAGTAGTATTAATATTATTATTTTTCTTGTTTTATTTTCAAAAATAGAAAATGAAGAAAAAAGAAATTGGACTGGGACCACATCATACGACTCATGCACGGTTTATACACTGCTTAAGCACACCATTTCATTTCAACTTTTTGCACTGTCACATTGCCACACAAACAAAAACATAAAACAAGTTCATCCATCTTCACCATTGATTTGAGCTTATCAATGGCCATAAACACTTCAAAGTTGCATCACACGGATCATGCCAAACTTGCCTCCAAAATCAGATTTTCAACTCTAAAATTTCCCTCATAAATTCCATCATTCTTCACTATATAAACACCTCAGGATCAGAAGGAAATGAGGCGGATAAAAGGAGAAGAAATATATAACAAAACTCTGTTAAATTTTTACTCAAGCTTCCCCCCAAGCATTCGTTCAACACTGCCAAGCAACCTACAATTTATCAAAACATGTAGCAATGTTCAATCCGAACACCGAAAAACTTTGATACGCGACATTTCGATTAAGTAACATACATAAAAAGTCAAAACAGAAGATCAAAGAAGAAGAAATTGCAAAATTACTTGAATCAAATTCTCGTCAGTGTCGAAATCCTCAAACTAGCTCTGAGTTCATAAGTTTTCTTTTATGTTTCTCAAAATTATTGTTGCTTTGTCTGTGTTGTTGTTTATTTATTTATTTGTTGAGAGTGAACCACGAGAGAGGAGTGAGACCGAAAGAGTTTGAACTAAATTTCAAAAAGGTTGTTGTTGTTATTTGTATGATTGAAACGGAAATAAGGCGTTACTATTGTTGTTGTTTAGACCGAGAGGGATTTCAAAGTAGAGTAGGAGTTGTGTTGTTGTTGTTGTTGTTTGATGTTGAATAGAAATAGGGGAAGGAACGATTTAAGAGTACATAGGAAGTTGATATCGTGAAATAGAACATGGGGAGTTTGAGAGAGTATGCGATTGTTTTAGGGTTGTATAACCTGTAGCTTTTGTTTGGAATAGAGGGTTGGACCTGGGTCGACCCGACCCGGTCCATGTTAAGCTCAAAGTTTTTTTTTTATTTTCATTTAATCTGCCTTGTTTTTTATATAATTTGGGCCTTACTAAATTTTTTTGTTTATCTTAGCCCATATGCAAATTTATTCTCTTCATCACCCTATATTATGCTTGCACCATTCATTTATCTTTTAAAAAAAAAACTTTCTTAGCTTTTTAGTTTAATTTTAAAATAAATTAAATATTCTTGCAGTTTTTAGATAATTTATATTAATTAACTTAGTTTTAAAATTAATTTAATAACTTTTTGAATTTTATTATATTTGTTTAATTACCTTTCTTTTCTCTTATATGTGATTTTTCTTTGCCTCTTTAATTGAAATTCTCATTGTTTATTTGTCATTAATTATTTGTTTGGATTTATTTTCTTGTGATTCTCTCCTCTTGATTTATGATAAATATATGTTGGTTGATATTATGATTATTCTAATTCAATTGATTTCAATTTCAGAGCTTACTCTTGGGCTTTCTTATAGTGAGTTTCTATAGCTTTCTCTTGGGCTTGGCTTTCATTTGGATCCTTGAGTCCTTATTCATCTTATACTTTAGTATTCATTTTACTATTGCTTGCTTGCTTAAAGTCAAAGGGAAAGAAATTGTGCATGTTGACTTCTTGTCAAGTGTTTGTATCCTGTATGTTTATTGTTTCTTTTTGTCCATCTTTTTTTTGTTTTCATTTTTGGTCTCCAAATCCTAATTTTCAAACTTACACCTTTTTCAATAAAAAAACATTGACTTAGGTCACTGCATCTTCAAACTTTCTTTCTTAATAAATGCTAAGTCACTTAAGCATCTCAAACTCTTTTCATAAGACTAAAAAATACAAAGACTCATTCAAACTTTTTTCCACTTTGGGTTTTCTTTTAAAAACTTTTTTTTCAAAAAGTTTAGACATGAGTCATTTACATAGTTGAGATGTTATTCTCCTACCCACATAAGTAATGATAAAAAATATGTCGACTTTTCCACATGAGTACTAGAGGCACTTTTTGATCTTATCCAAGTGTAAGTCCTCCTTCATATGATGCATTGTCCCTCTTTCTCATACTTTGTGGGCGATTAGTCAAGTTTTCTCCTAAAAAATGACAAGTTATCCTTTCATTTAAAATCATCCGACACACCAAGTTTTACACTTTTTGAGAATAACTACATAGTTCTGATTTCACCATTACACCATTGAAGTTTTACCGAATCAAAATAATGAATAAATTATTTTCCCATCTCTCCAGCCGTATTGCAAACAACCAATTTTAGCCAAATACATCGATTTTCAAAAGGTTCATGCAGAGTATGGTAGATGTTTAGGGTGTTAATACCTTCCATTTGCATAACCAACCCCCGTACCCTATTCTCTTTGTGCTTTGCTTTTTTCTTTGCTTTTTTCCTTGCTTTTTTTTCTTTGCATGCTTTTGTGGGTTTTGTTCTATCTTTTCCCATTCCTTTGAAAATAATAAAGTTCAGTGCAACTCTTGCTTTTACTGAGATAAGTTAATCAATAACTTATTTTAAAAAAAATTTGTGCCGCAACAACTGGAGACTCTTCTGGGTAGTAATTGTCGAGTGGGTTGGGCCTATCTTGTTTATTTGTGTTTATGCTGTTATTATTGTTGTTTGGTTGTTTGTCTGGATTTTTTTTGTTTTTAAAGTGCTTGGTGATTTTGTGTGGTGAGAAGTCTTATAGCCATACTTGAGTTACAACTTATGTTTAAGAGGGTGGTATAATCATGTTGACTTTGAAGGAGTAGTCCTGAATAAGATGACATGAGATCCACCGCTCAGTGGAGGCCTCTTTGAGGGTAATGATGTTTATCGAGTAGCCGGGAAGACATTGTTATTTTCGATCTAGAATTCTGAGAAACTGAGGACCTTAGAACCCATTTACCCCCTTGGCCTTTTTAGGATTTAGTGTGGTGGCTATGAAAGAGTAGTCCTGAATTAGTTGATATGCGATACTATACTCAGATGAGGTTCTCTTGAGAATATTACCGATTCCCGAGTGATCGTTGTGCTAGTAATATCCGAAAGAGGATTATAGACTCTGGGAACTTGTTAGAACCCGATTACTTGTCTAGATGCTGAAAACCTTAGATCACACCTTGTGGGATGGTTACCCTTGAATCTATGCTCATGGTTCTGAACCTTTGGACCTTGTAGTTTTGTGATTTGCATTTTGTATTGCATAACATTACATGTCATTGAATCCTTTTCATAATTCATGCATACATTTAAGTTGTCACAAAAACTCATTCTAGTTGTCTCCTTCTTCAGTTATCTGTCAACCGTCAAGTTATTTACTCAACACAAGTATGACATCAGAGCCAACGTCAGACGAAGAATGACAAACCAAGAACAACATAACATAGAAGTTAGAATAGAAATTGACTAGTTGAAGTCAGGAATGACCAAGATCATTGAGTTGATGTAAGTTTTGATTTCTAGGGGAGAACTACCTCAGAGGACTGTTATCTCTAAGATTACAATTGCTGCTGTTAATCCTCCACTAGTCCATCAATCGGTTTATACATGGCTAGAATTTGGGTTACCCCTGAATTTCTCTCCACCTATTACAACTACTTCAATGGTGGGCCAAACTTTTAGACTAGTGTTTCAGGCTCCAGTCTTCACTAAACCTCAGCCAATGATTCATACTACTTCTCATCAACATGTTGTGTATCCTCTTGCACAAGCTGCTTATGAGAACCTTCTCTTTGAATACCATGATGTCAATCCCCAAAGTGTGAGTCAAAAAATATTTTGGTGAGATTGAAGATGTCAAAGAACAATATCAGAGTTTAGAAAATAGAATGAGGGTCATGGAAGGTAATGAGTTCTTTAATGTTCATGCTCACAACATGTGTTTAGTTTCTGACCTTGTGATGCCTGCCAAGTTCAAGACTCTCAAGTTTGATAAATACAAGGGCATACCTATCATGTAAGTCATTTGGTCATGTACTTCAGAAAGATGGATGCATACACTAACAATCATAAGTTTCTCATCCATTGCTTTCAAGACAGTCTGAGTGGTGCTTCACTCAGATGGTATATAGGAATTGAGAAGAAATGTATTCAATGCTTCCATGACTTAGTTGATGCCTTCATGAAGCAATACAAGTACAACCTTGACATGGCACCTGATCATCGTCAACTGCAGAGCATGTCTCAGAATGAGAGATAATATTTTAAGGAGTACGCTCAATGTTGGAGAGAAATGGCCTTTCAAGTTGAACTACCTCTAGTTGAAAAAGAGCTTACAAGCATGTTTATGGATACATGTCTCCTTTCTTTTGGGAAAATATGATTGGTAATGTGTCTTCCAACTTCACAGACTTGATGACTATTGGCCAGAGGCTAGAAGAGGGAGTTAAGAAGGGCAAAGCGTCTACTGCTGGTGAATCTTCTTATGGTGCGAAGAAATTCCTTGGGAATTTCCAGAAGAAGAAGTAAGTTGAAGCTAATGCTATATCAACTAAAAGAAAAAGACATCCTCAAAGGTCTCAGTATTATGATAAACCATTTGTAGTTGTTATTACTCATGTGGTAAATGCTCAACCAACTCAAGCTCCTTAACGCTAGGTTGTTGGATATAACCAGAACCGCAATAGGACTTACTTTAATCTTATTCATATGCCTCAATGCTAGGAGAGCTATGATCCTCTCCGAATGATAACATGAGATCAGAATAATATGCACAAGATTAGAAATATGCATTCTTTATCACTTAACTAAGTGCAATAGAAATATATATTTATTTTATTTATTATGTGCAGATGGCTCCAAAGAATTTCGTTATTGGACGAAAGAGGCAAACCATAATAGAATTCTCTAGAGTGCCTTATGATAAAAATAGATTCAAAAGTCCAAAGCATAAATAAGTTTTTGAATAACTTAGGAGTAGACAATTGATGCCTGGAAGAAGAGTTCAACTGGAGAATCCAGAGGAATTTTCCAAATTCATACAAGAAATAAAGGATGAAGGGTGGAAAACTTTGGCAAATCCCCTAGACAAAATCAATGTAGACATTTATAAAGGGGATTACACATTAGTGCCAAACCCTAAGGGGAAGATACAACAATGTCAAAAACATCGGGGGTGAGAGGAAAGGTTATCGCATATGACTGATATGTTAGACATAACTAGCTTGAAGGTTCATGTGACTTACTTCAAGAAGGATTCGATGCTTACTTATGGGAGGTTCATGAAAACAATTTAAATTATGATTGAATAACTTCTAACATACGCATCAAGAATGAAATCTATGAAATAGGTCGGTCAGGTAAAACCAATGTTTTAAAACTCGGATTGATTATTGATTCTGTCAAGCTATTGAGTCATTGGGTTTCTGGTCGGACCAATGTATCACAGGTCGGACCACATGGCTTCTAATAATATGAAAATATAATATCTTTTTTGGTAATATTATTTTTTTTCAAATTTTTTGTTAATTTATAGTATTATTTTATCGTATAATTAATTTATAACTTTTTAAATTTATTATATTATTACATTTTATGATTAATAATAAATAAGTTTAACGAAAAAATTGCATAAGAGAGAAATGTTGTAATTATAGAATATATATACTCTCTTCTCTTTGACCAAATTAAACATCAAAGAGATTCATATTGCAGTTGGTAAAACTAAAATCTTAATAAATTTGAAAGGTTACACATTTGATTCTAAAAATTTGAAAAAAAACCATTTTTATAATTTTAACATTATTGTTGTGAAAACGATGCCAAGAATAAAGTATAATCAGTTTCTTTATCGACAAGAAACTCACAAGGGAAGAAAAGATTGAAAAACAATAAGAACATAATGAATTGGTTAAACCTGTTTTTCTATTCACTTACTCATTAGGTTACAATGATTGCAAGTGAATAACAATAATTAACCTTTCTCACCCTAATAACGATTTGTCGTGTGCAATGATGAGAGTATAATATGCTATTTATAATAAACCTAACATACTAAACTAACGG